TTTATAGTGAAAAAGACTTACTGAATCTGTTGTAGAATAATGCTTTGCTGTGACAAAATGCGAAACAACTCAGGGGGTTTGAATACTTTCCGAACGCACTGTATGTCATACAGGGATCACATCCCGATATCTCGTACCTAGGTTGTCTGAGAGAACGTTTTGGGTCAGAGAGTTCCGCACCAGACGAGGGTGTCTGATACCTGTCTCCGCTCTGGGTGATGAGTCTCCGACACGTCTCCATCTGTACGTCCAGGCCTCGCTTCATGGAACACATCTCCATGTATTCGTGCAGGTGCCGGTTCATGTCACTCTTAGCCGTGGCCAGCTCCAACTGCCGGACCGCCACATAAAGGACAATAAATATTAATAATAATAGCTGTTTCCGGGAGGACGTTTTCTGTCGCCACACATTTTCTGTGACGGGAAGATGACTTAATGTTGAAAACGAACATAAAGCAAACATCTTTGTAATGCTAGCACGAACAGATTTTGACAAACATATCCAAAGAGAATTAATACTGTGGCCCTCTGCTTTAATTTCTACGCTTCGAACTGAAACTATTTTGTGTTCATTTTAACATGGTATCCAGAGACTGTTTTATCTGTAATTTCTTCACTTTTGGCATCCTGATAATTAGTCTTCTTATTTAGGCAAGTACCAATAACGTCCAAAGTTGAGCAGGACAAGTGGTCAATCTTACCTCAATTTGGTCGATGGTCTCCTGGTACTCTTTCTCTCTGGTCTGGAAAAGGCACTCTGTGTCCTTAATGACTTTCTCTATGGATTCCTCCTGTTGCTGCTGTGTTCGTGTGTTAACATGAGTGTGTGTTTGTGTGTGTGTGCGTGTGCGTGTGTGCACGCATGTGCGAAAGACAAGGAAAGAAATATGAACAATAAAAGAAATGGGGACATTTTACGTGGTTGCTAAATTGCTCGATATTCATGACATAAAAGCAAATACGATGTGTGTAAAAAAAAATGTCAAACACAGATTAATTTCAAGAACATCTCAGTTCTAAATTGTCTCTAAAAGCTTGGCTCATTTTGAACATCTTCATATTTGACTGCGTCTAAATAATAACATAATGCAAACACACAGACCCTGCGAACACGACTGTAAGAAACACTGACAAGCAAAACGTAGAGTGGCTTTGATTAGTCAGCTTCTAATCCTAACGATTACAGTGGTAAATATAACACCGATTTTAGCTTAGCCAGCGGCTAGGGGAGAGGGTTGACGCCTACCTCTCCATGGGTCTCTGTTGCTCCCAGAGTGTATCCTGGGAAATCCTCCCAGAGGAGCAAAGTCTCCTCAGTCTCCTCCCAGGCCAAGCTGTCGCAGTCATCCTCAAATTCACACTCCCTCCTGCAACGCCGACAATAAGCCTGGCTTATTAGCGGCACGTCTATTCATGGATCACTGGGTGGCCAGTTCTGGCCTGGCTATGGCTTACGAGCATGCTAATGGCTAATGGCTGATGGCTAATGCTGATGGCTGATGGCTAATGCTGATGGCTAATGCTGATGGCTGATGGCAAATGCTGATGGCTAATGGCTGACGGCTAATGGCTAATGGCTAATGGCTGATGGCTAATGCTGATGGCTGATGGCTAATGGCTAATGGCTAATGGCTAATGGCTAATGGCTAATGGCTGATGGCTAATGCTGATGGCTGATGGCTAATGCTGATGGCTGATGGCTAATGGCTGACGGCTAATGGCTAATGACCAATGGATAATGGCTGATGCTGATGGCTGACGGCTAATGGCTGATGGCTAATGGCTAATGGCTGATGGCTAATGCTGATGGCTGATGGCTAATGCTGATGGCTAATGCTGATGGCTGATGGCTAATGGCTGACGGCTAATGGCTAATGGCTGATGGCTAATGCTGATGGCTAATGCTGATGGCTGATGGCTAATGGCTAATGGCTGATGGCTAATGCTGATGGCTGATGGCTAATGCTGATGGCTGATGGCTGACGGCTAATGGCTAATGGCTAATGGCTAATGGCTAATGGCTAATGGCTAATGGCTAATGACCAATGGATAATGGCTGATGGCTGATGGCTAATGCTGATGGCTGATGGCTAATGGCTAATGGCTGACGGCTAATGGCTGATGGCTAATGGCTGATGGCTAATGGCTAATGGCTGACGGCTAATGGCTGATGGCTAATGGCTGATGGCTAATGGCTGATGGCTAATGGCTGATGGCTAATGCTGATGGCTAATGGCTGATGGCTAATGGCTGATGGCTAATGGCTGATGGCTAATGGCTGATGGCTAATGGCTGATGGCTAATGGCTGATGGCTAATGGCTGATGGCTAATGGCTGATGGCTAATGGCTGATGGCTAATGGCTGATGGCTAATGGCTGATGGCTAATGGCTGATGGCTAATGGCTGATGGCTAATGGCTAATGGCTGGCTAATGGCTGATGGCTAATGGCTAATGGCTAATGGCTGATGGCTAATGGATGGCTGATGGCTGATGGCTAATGGCTGATGGCTAATGGCTGACGGCTAATGGCTGACGGCTAATGGCTAATGGCTAATGGCTGATGGCTGATGGCTAATGGCTGACGGCTAATGGCTGATGGCTAATGGCTGATGGCTAATGGCTGATGGCTAATGGCTAATGGCTAATGGCTAATGGCTAATGGCTGATGGCTAATGGCTGATGGCTGATGGCTGATGGCTAACTCTAGTGCTGGACACCAGCAATGTGCCGGCTTTGCGTTCAGCCAAGTGCCCACATTCCAAATTAAAAATCAGGTAACCATGGCCTGATGTTTGCACTACAAACTTAACGTATTTGAGGATAATATTTACTGTGGTATTTAAGATATCAGAAAACTTTCATTGTTATTCAGAACATTGGTTGACAGTTGGCCAATAGGTAAAGAGCAATCCATCTAACTCACAGCTGGTTCAGCATCCTCTGCATCTCCTCGTTGATCTGATTGGCTGACGTGCTGCACGACTCCTCATCTTTGCCCCTCTCACTCTCAGAGATGCTGGACAGGTCATCTCCGTCGCCGCTTTTTACTGATTGGGCCGTCTGCTTCCTGGGACGACGGGTCAGAGTTGACGGAGGTGTGGCCATCTGATGGATAACGACAATGGTGTTAAAGCGGGCTAATAAAGCGTAATAAACTAGCTTATTAAGGTGTAATAACACAGGTATCGCAGACGCCCACACAAACTGATATCAAATTGAGCGGGTTACGTAAAGGCATGAGTTGCTTAATTATAACTTGAATACATAAAATACTCAATTAGAATCAAATTCTAGACATTTTACGACTGTATTTTTTAGTATATGTATTGTGTTTTTTGTTGATAAATTCAATCCCAGGTCTGTCTATGGGCTAGTTTTTCTATTCTAATAATTATTTAGTTAGTATTTAGTATTTACAGTGGCCAATGAGCAGTCCTGACCTGAAAGATCTGGATCATGTCTTCACAGTTCCTCTGCTGGGCTACATCACACAAGCGAGCAGTGATGTCGATGCGTCTACAGATGTCCATGTCCACCTTCATGGCCTTCTCCTGGATCTTACTGTCCAGATCTGACAAGTTCTAATCGACAGGAGAGCGAGAAGAGCGAGTCACACTAAATGCTTCTTAATTGTACAGAAGTTTATTAGATTATGGAGAGCTGAAATCTCCACAGACATTTTATATTATAGAAATAATATCACAATTTGTAAATTTCGGGCGGGTCTAGTTTAGGGTGGGGCTAACCAACCATGACACCACTCACGTTGCTCATAAGTCCCTTAAAGAGAACCAGCTCCGCCTTTAGCTGTTTCACCCTGAGGGCCAGGTCATCCTGACACAACTCGCTCTCTTGGAGGTCCTGAACACACACAGACACACACGTATTCACTTTACAGACTGCATACTATTGCATACTGCATACCACATAACTGATAATAAAGGTTAGAGGACACTTAGAGACGTCCTCGTTTTGCAGCGATGCGCGTGCACAAGATGCTGCAGAATAGACCACTGGACCAACCTGTATCACACGGCACAATGAACTCCGACACACACAGCTAAAGCGGAATTACCTCCTCAAGCTCAGCCACTTTCTCCTGGAGGTTCACTCTAATCGTATACTCTTCCTCCCATCTGTAGGTAGACATGCACACACACGTGTTTGTGGAAATGAACAAATATAATCTCATCCTCTGGAAACAGTTGTGACATCAGAAACACACAGACACACAGTTGTAGTTTAAACCTTTTAGGGACACGAACACGTACATTCGCTGTTTCTAAATGTAACTCGTATCCTAAGACATAACTTACCAGTTTGTTAATCACAATAATCGAAACATTAATAATGAACAAATAATCCCCGTCGCCATTACAACTTGAAAGCTTCAAATTGCTTAGTGGGATAAGTCAGTGATAGAGTTATTTTGAGAGTGACACAAAGTATTTTGACAGTGACACGTGTTTTGTTTTGGCTCTGTACTCCAACACATTGGATTTGAAATGAAACAAATGACTAAGAGGTCAAAGTGTCAGATTTCATTTGTGGGTATATACATCAATAAATCATAAACCGTGTTGTTTTATATCATTTTTCAGCAACATCAAAAGCCAAAAGTCTCAAAAAGCATAATAGAAACTCTTAAATCAGTAAATCTTCATTAGATGTGTATGTAGCAAGCAGCCATACTGCTTGTGTGTAGAATTTTGAAGAAAATGGTAATTGGTCACTGTTAATTGAATCCATTTTGGAATAAGGCTGTAACATAACAAAATGTAGAAAAATGAAGCACTGTGAATACTTTCCGAAGCACATAAAGCAAATAGCCTAGAAATCTAGACAACATTTTCCATTTATTTTACACCATTCTCCAGCCACATACTGTAGTGCAGATTTGTTCAGAATCCAATCTGCTTCAATTAATTTATAGTGCATTTGAATCCCTGTTGTGGACATATTCTCCCCGACTCAGCACTTTTATGCAGTAGATGAATAGCTGACGTAGCTCAGTGGTAGAGTGCATGCTTTGTATGTATGATGTCCTGGGTTCAATCCCCAGCATCTCCCCAGGTCACCATTGTACATTTGTTAAAAAAATAAATAAATAACATATACACTGCTACAGCACATGCATCAAAGTTTACTGTCCCAAGTTTCCTAACTAAGGTGCCATATTGCCATGACCCCTGTCAATTAAGAGATGCGGTTTCCACAACAACAGTTCAAGGTCATTAGAGTTGCCGGTCTACATGTAGGGCATTTAACTCATAGTTTGTCACCTTCATGTACAGATTCTTGAACTTAACCATTTTGAAGTGTTATGTCGAACTACAGAATAACGTTTGCTTTTGGTTTATTTGAGTCCCACTAGTTAATAAACCTCAACGTTCACCTATTTCTAGACTTAAATTAAGAACGCATGTTAGGAGACATTTTTGTCCGGTAATTTGAAAGAAAGTAGGCGATGGAAACATTATATATATTTTTTTAACTGTTCCTATAATAAATTTTTTAAAATGAGATATTACAGATAAATGTTCTTGTTAAACCATTTGACCTTCTGAATGAATTAGAGTTATAAGTGAGTCAAATTATCTGAACACGCTTTGCAACGTTTTCATTAGCATTCATACAGTTCACTTGGAATGCTACTGACGTCATTAGAGTGATGTCAGCATCTTCTCAAGGTTGCTGCAGAAGGTGTGTGATGTTACGGGGGGGGAGACGAAGTGACAGAGGGAGAAAATCAAGTTGGTGCGTGAACCCGAGAGAGATACAAAAACTGAGAGACAGAGAGACGAGAGAGATAGAAAGAGAGCAGATAGGGCAGACCAGAGAGGTGAGGGATTAAAAAAGCGAAGACGATTGAAAGAGTGAGCGAATAAGACAGAGGGACAGAAAGGAGAGACGGAATGAACGAGGGAGTGACTGAATGGAGGGAGAGAGACGAAGGATTGAAAGAGAGTGACAGGATGTATGGAAGAGAGGCGAAGGAGTGAAAGAGAGTGATAAAACGGAGATACTATGACAGTGACACTGCTAGTTGTCACAACACTTGGTACAGTGCTGCATTGCAGATGTAGACAGGAAACACAGGTCGGGTGGAGGCAAGAGAGAGAGTGTGTGTGTGTTTAACCATGTGAGAGAAAAACACGTGTTCTCTCATTACCGTATCCCATTCAGCTCTCATCTGGATTGGGATGGAAGATTCACTAGCGCTGTTTTGTATAGTGCGTGATTAGCCACCTATGATGCACTGTTATTGTGTACGATGACATCATTTGCAAAGTTCAAGGGCAAACTGACGAGAACAAAAATCCATCTGTACGCTGTGAAGTAATTTGCTTTTAAAGCGTACAGATGAACCATTAACGCGTAACATGGGGATGTTTCATGAATGATGACAATGACTAACATGAAAACAACAACGGAACCTTTCTCCTCTGTGTAATACTGTTAAGTAACAACAGTATCCCTCAGACATTATTTGTATGGCGGACTGAGACAACGTAGGCCAACCACATGCTGCATTACAGCGAGAGTATTCTGGGAAACGTGACGTATGTTGTATATCGCTGCAGTTAATTGCAATATCAGCAGTTGCACCTCCAGAAAGCCTCCACAGAGATTATGTTATGGAATGTTTGGGGAATTCTGGGGTCATTTGAATCAACACCGGAATGGTTGATTCAAAAAAGGGATTTTTTTCTAACCATTCTGCTCTACATTTGTAATAATTTGTAACCCGCTGTAAATACACGAAACCCCCAAAAAACGATATGTGTAAGTAAATCATTATCTCCAGTGTATGAAAGACCACCTAAAGCATGTTTGACAAGTATTCAGACTCTTTATTTTCTCCAGATTTTCCAATCCAGAACTGTCAACGCTTTACCATTTATTAACCTTCCTCATATCTACGGCTTGAAACAATTTTATCGTGGAGGTCTTCAGAGAGTTCCTTGGACGGTGTGGTTTGTTTTGGAACCTTACTGCAGCATGTGTAAACACAAAATGGCCAACGCTGAGGTCGATGTATAATGGCACTAGGGTCTGAATAAGTATGTTAAATATTTCTAGATGGATACCCAAGACAAAATGTCTGACAACAAAAAGTGGAGAAAAAGAAGGGGTCAGAATACATATCCAGGCCGAGGGCACATACTCCTGACCTGACAACATCCCTGACACGCAATAAGAATAATATATGTTTTTGTTTTTAAAAATGCATTCCCTTTTGGCAGTGGGGCTCTTGCAAGAATTGATGTTGTCATAACAGTCAAGACAATTTATGACATCACATCTGACATATAGATGACACCAGCTGGCCCTATAAACCGGATAACATTGACAGATACTTACCTGCGTTTATATTCATCTCGCTCTCGTTTCACCTTGCCCAATACGTTGTACAAAGCCCGTATCTCCGGGGTGATGGTGTCGATCTGAACGCCTACCCCGTCCGTTTGGGCACAAGGCACCCCGGTGCCGCTGACGTGCGACTCCCTCCCAGGTCTTAACCTGCGGTCGTGGTTGTAGGACCACACGGTGCCGGGGAGAAACCGGGGAGGCGGGTTAGATGACATGACAGTCCCACAGCTCACAAATTTCTCGTTAATGTTGGATAAAGTCTTGTAGGGATCTGTGGGGGTTAATGATGGACTGATGGGAATATGTGGAATTAGTTGATTGGAATTGAGATTGGAATTGGTGTCAGTCAGAGTCGAGGTCCTGTATATTGACTTGCTGTGAGACTCAAAAGAAGGAGTTCTGGGCCTGTTAAGCGATGGAGAGAGTAGCCCCCCGGGGAGGTATGCAGAGTTATTGGCGTTCTGAAGTGGGATGTGTCCCGGCCGGACTGCGATGGGGCCCACGAAACCAGTCTGGACTCCCATTTCCTTAGTCGATGGCCTTTTCTCGTGTCCTTCTGCATTGCCCTCGTTCTCTTCCAGGGCCTGCTGCAGCTGCTTCTCCAAGGCTTTATTCCGACGCTCCAGCTCATGCACTTTGGCCAAAAAGCAGCGAAAGCGCAGGTTCAGGGTCTTGAGGACACTTATGTTGGACCCCAGGTCATTACGCAGGGCCATCGCAGCAGGGGGCGGCGGTGCACGGTGCAGGTTATTAAGGTGCATGTACGCCAACCCAGAAGGTGGCAGGGCACCAAAGTCCAGTCCAGATAGCCCGTCTGGTCCAAAGCCACCCGTGTGCTCCCCAAACCCGTAGGCAGGGTCTGGTGCACCATACGACCCCAGGCCTGTCATAAAGGTATCCGTGTGGCTCCCCATCTGGTTATTATGGAGCTGATGCTGAACCAGGAGCGCGTTGTCATCCCCCAGCAATGGATTCATGTATGCAAATCGGAAATGCTCAAAATCCGGCATGAAAACAGACTTCTGGGTTGAGCTTCTCAGCCAACACCTTTAGAAAAAAGTATAATTAGTTGCTCTAATAGAAAAAAATTAGAGTAGGCAATTAAAGGGTGCCTTATAGGATACCGGTATGCGTCCTAAAACAGACCAGTTTTAAATAAACCAAATGGTATTACAGGTTTTTTTAAGAATAGTTTCTGTGATGGAATATCCATCAGATATGTGGTGATATACGCACCTGCCTGGGTGCAGTGGAACCAGGATGACTGCCAGTGGAAAATAAACAACCCTACTGCGGCTTTTACTCTCAGACTACCGTAATGACGGCAGTACACGGGCATCAGAGATCCTCACTGCTTCAGCTCAGTACATTTCATGACTGGTTTTTACTGAAATCACAATGGGTGTTATTAGCATGCACTGAAATAATACCGATGCATGTATCATGTATATATATATCGATGGGGCAAAACACTATGACCTCACAGGCGATGCAAACAACTTTGTAGTTGTTGGATGCAGAGAAATCGGGAGTAAAGACATTTTCTAAAATGTTAAGGCCTGCGGGGCGCTCCCGGTCAGCAGTGATGAGTAACACCGACCGGCAAACAGGGTGTTTAGGCACTCAAGACATATTGATGCGTAAGGTAACACAGGCTATCCTGGCTGGTCCAAATGGACAGGCCGTCTACTTTGGCACAATTCACAGAATAATGTAATAATGGTGACGGGAGGAATGTTTTACAAGACACAGTGAAGCACTTGGAGTCCGCAGACCGGTCCAAACGCCCATGATGACCCCTGTGCACTACCGGAAGAGTCCCGTTTTCTTTCACATCATATGGACGAACGTGTACATGTCTACCTTTAACTTTGGGAATTCATCAACAGCATATTTATCAGGTAGTGATGTTTTGTCTCACCTGTGTAAGTCTGACTGTTGACCTAAGTTCAAGATGGATCCTCATTTAGAGGTATTACGGTATCCTTTACGAACTGCAAACTGGATTCGAAACTCTAGATGGCTGATTTTTGAACACTGCTTTTTAGTTGGTTCTGCAGAGATGTAGGATTACTAATATACGTTATATTCTGGATTACAATCAAGAGTTATTCAAGACATTTTAGACACCCAAACATTTGCGGCCTGTCCATGAAAGATCTCAGTTCAAACGTTACCACAAAAATATTTAAACTTTCGTATCCTATATGCACGTCAACATTGCAGTTGCATATTTACTTTGAAATCATTAGAAGACATTTTCCTTGTGAACAAAACACAGCTACACATTAAATTGCTAAGTATATAAACCGGTGCACCAACAGTTGCTAGGAGTACCACTACCTTTGTAGGGTCAAACCTTCAACAAAAAGTGAAATGTGAGCGTTCAAAGGAATATTTTATGACTATGATAAACATACTTATGTTAAGAAAGCCCGTTACAGTTCATGCGGGGAGTCATCGATGAACAGCACATTTCCGCAGTGTGAATGAGGCCATCAAAGCTGAATTGACCATCGATGAAGGGCGCCATCTAGTGGACCAAGTAAACTTTACACCGAGGGAGGATGTATACAAAGAAAGAGCAGTACAGACATTTGAATTACTTTTAGGTACTGAATTACTTATAGGTTAAACTACCACAAATCACACCTTTCAACTTCCATCTACTGCATAAATCACATTACCAGATTAAG